AAAAAAATAAAAAAAATGTGAAGCTTGAATGATACATGAAACTTAAAGAAAAATGAACTAATTTCCATTACATATGAAAGGATTCAGACCCCTCTGGTTGCAGGCTCGTCTCAGAGCTGTCACTGCAGTGGCTGGGTTCGATCCCAGGCCAGGGGTGACCCACATGGCACAGCAGACCTCTCCTGTCTCGCCCGCTGCTCCCCTCAGCAGTGTGTGTCAGTGGATCTGCCTGTTATGCTCCCCACTTTCTCTGGTGAATCCTTTCACCCCCCCACCTCTGGACTACACCCCAGTTCTACACATGCACACACATAAGATTCCCTGGTTTTTTCACTCCACCATGTGGAATGCCTTTAAAGTCAATTTTCCTTGCTGAACTGGCAATGATGTTTTCAAAGCATTAAGTATTTGGTAAAAGGTGAGGGGCAAAAAGCTTGAAAGCTAAAGTATTAAGCGGCTAAAAACAGAAGCTTAAAACTCGAAGTTGTATCACAGCTGAAATAATTTAAATCCAGGCAACAACAGATGTTGACTTACAAAAGTTCTATTTACACATCTATTAGGTAAAGCAAGGTACACCCACCTCAAAATTCATCCATATCTGAATTTACATCGGAGTACCACGTGGCAAGAAATCTCTAGGAGAACTTCAGTTCCATAAACAAAGAGCTAAATGGGGAGAATTTAAATTTGCTCTTGCCATGGCATTTAAACAAAACCGAAGGGCTGTAACGCAGTTTCGACACAGAACACAGTTCGCTAGTCGCCAGGCAAAGAAAACGGTCGGCAGCAGCTGGCGCGCAGGGTCCCGTACAAACGAACGTCACAAAGAGTCTGCTTTTAGGAGACATGGAACAGTGGGCTGACATGGCATTTACAAATACATAATATAAAAACGCACAGCCCCTTGAACAAAAATCCATCAAACGTGTTTCCTGCGACTCCTGGTAGCCCAACCCTTTACCCAAATAGGCCATTCTGGTGAATTACTGGCATCTGCCGTTGTCTTTTAAACATTAAAAGAGTGTGGGCACGTGTGCTGCGCGGGGTGAGAGCTGTCTTAGAAAAGGGGCCAGAGTGGCCGAAAACAACTGGCCAGCGGGTCTGCAGAGTGTGTTCGAGTGTCACTTCTGTTTCTCACTCTTTGAAAGACAAAATACCTCAGGAACTACACCCTATGCCTGGTGTGGAGTGATCCTGTCCCTCCTACCGCCCTCAATGTGAGGGAACTGTGAAGTGGCTCCGCTCGGCCAGCTGCTCCCCGTCCGCCTAAAGCAGAAGAGGAAGTGTGGGAGGTGCGCGGCAGCAGGCCCCTCCTCACCCAGGGTACAGCTGGGCACCTGATGGGCTGCGCGGCCAGCAGGAAGTAAGGCATTTCCCGTCCCTCGGAGTCCTGTTCACTTTCTCAGAAGCAACTTGGCAAAGTCCGCATTGGACATCTTGGGCGCCTCGGTGAGCGCCGAGGCGGCGACTGCGGGCCGAGGGCCAGGGCCGTTCTCGGCCTGCGGAGCGGCAGCGGCCGGGCGTTGCAGGGCGCGAGGCAGCAGAGAGAGCTGGGTCCTCCCCTTCCCCCGCCTGTAAGAGCAAACACTGAGTGGGCTCTCCCAAAGCGACAACTCCCGCTGGTCTGTGAACACAGGCCAGGGCAGTCTTAGTGCCTGGCCAACAGGTACATAAAAAACTCAAGAAAGGCAAGAAGAGCCCTCCTCCTTGACTCTGGTTGTTAGGTAAAAATCCCTTTAACAAACTTTTTCACGATTTTGGCAAGGGCAAGCTGTGTGACAGTCACCTGCAGAGTAGACAAATAAGGCCTCAGTTTTCAGACCTGACAAATAACCTGGCCATTCTGCAGATTCAGGCGACAGGCAGCAGGGCTCCCAGCTGCTCAGTGACTAGAAAGCAGCTCACCAGGGTGGGGCTATCGGTTTTGAATCTACGCATGTGGACTCAGATAGCAAAGGGGGCTTTAAAATAGTCACTGCCTTAAAATTTGTTAGACCATGATCACCAGTCAGCAAACACCAGAAAGAGCCCTGCTCCTGCCTACTCGTACTCTGCGTGGGCTGCTCTGGCTTCCTGTCCCACCTCGCTGTGCCAACAGGAAGTGCATTCGCGGTGCAGCCGGGTCTGCACTGGTCAGCGCAAAACACTTACGCTCCGTACATCTGTCGCGGCACCAAGGGGCCACCGGGTGCTCTCCTTGCCTCTGACTTCTCTGGAAGTTTCCTTTGAGGGGGATTACTGATGGCCACTTTGATGACATTCTCTTTGATGGTCATGCCGTCCATCTTCATCACAGCCTGGGAAGCCTGGGATTCATTCTCATACTCCACATAGGCCAGACCCTGAGAGGCAAATCCAAAGCAGGGTCAGGCACCGCAGAGCCAGGACACACTTCCTCATCGGGCCCAGGGGCCAGTACAGGGCCGCCCCCGGCCCTGGGCAGCCTCCCCATGGCCACTGCCCTTGGGTCTACCCTCCTCCTCTCTGTTCCTGCAAATGACTGTAACTTGAGAAAACCTTTTCAAGTTCAGCGTATCTGTGCTTACTTGGGAGGGAGGGACAGAAAGTACAGACAGACCAGTGTAAAGCTGGCAACTGCTGAGGTCAGGGCGCAGGGTGAGCACCCTAGGCGGTCCCTGCCTCTGCCTCTGGACCAGCGGCTGGGGGAGGGCAAGAGAAGTCATCTAAGCTCATACTAAACATCACTATGCAACATGCTGTGCATTTACCAGGAGCCTCACAGTGCGGGGCAGGACATGGTGACTGGGACTGGCGGAGGGACCTGACATGCTCAGAGGGCCTAGTGGCTCCCTTCTGGAAGAAGGGAGGAGCATGCAGGAGGACATGTCACCCCAAGTCCCACAGCCCGGGGTCCACACTGCAGCTCCCCAACAGAAGTTTCCTTCTTTTTAGTACAGTAGCTGCAAATAGGTTGACTTGGTTCTAGATGCAAGTGGTGTCACGTTACCCATCTTTACAGTGACTCATCCTTTGTCTCTTAGCAGACAAGCTAGGGCCCGATCTGGAACTGGACAATCTGTAAACAAGCCGGAACTGGGCTGGCCAGAGCCGCTGAGCAGATGCTGACCTTCGGTTTGCCGGCCCGGTTGGTCACCAGCCTGATGTCCTTCACTGTGCCATGAGCCTTACAGATCTCCTCGAGTTCCTCTTTAGTGCAGGAAAAAGGCAGACCCGAGACAAACAGCTTGTGCTTCTCCAGGGCGGTGCTGTACCTGAACACCTACGGGAAGAGGAGAGGGAGATCGGGCTTGAGGCCCACCAGCCTCTGCACAGGATGAGATGAATTACTCACTCACTGGGTGACCCTTGGGCAAGTCCCTTAAGCGCTGAAGCCGCACTTCCTGCTCTGTAAAAAACCGCCCAAAAGGAGGCAGCTATTCTGTTGGGACGACCCGCAGATGAGGAGACAGGTAAACACTTAGCTCAGCATCTGGTCAGTCCAAACATTCAAGCGCGAGAACCATTATCACCACTGCTCACATCATTACCTTTTATCCACTGATGCACATGGGACCCTGAGCCAGGCCTGTCAGGCAGACCAGAGCCAGTTAATGTGGAAATTCAGTTCTTAACAGAGTACAGAAGTTGCCTGACATTCTAAATGCTAGCTGTTGCAAGAAAAAAGTGGGTGTGCACTGACAGGCATTCTTTTTCCAAAAACTTACCTTAAAATCGGGATTTTTGCTCTTATCCACACACGGGGAAACAAACATTGGTCGCCCTTCTACATTCTTCCGGTCCAACTGCAGCGCCTGCAGGGCCGACTTCTCCTCTTTGAACTGCACATAGCAGTAGCCTCGGAAATCGCCGCGGTTACTGAAGATGGGGCGGATCTCCACCACCTCCCCACAGGCCTCGAAGAGCGGCCGGAGCTTCGCTTCCGGCTCCCCCATGCTGTAGGGCAGGTTGCTGACGAAGACCGTGACGCTGTCTTTACTGCTGTCGTGGGGCACCTTGGGCAGGTCCCTCTTCAGGGCCGCCCGCTCCTTCTGCCGTGAAGGGGGGTCGGCATCCACGGGGGCACTTTTCCCAAAGAGGCCGGTCTCGGCTTCTAGGTCCTGTGCTGCTCCGGCTGCAGAAACGCTGTTCTCGAGCTTCCTTCGTTTGGGAGGCTGTTCTGCAGGGCGTCAGGAAGGAGGTGCAGGGTTAGCTGTTACTTGCGGCCAGGAGCGGCCCTCCCACCGCACCAGCGGCACTGCAGTGAATACCTAAATCCTTCTCCATGCTCAGGGTTGGGGTGCACACCACACCCCCTCCACCGGGGTTCCTGCTCCACCCATTTCTCCTGCTGCTTTGTGGGCCCCCCTCACAAATAGATCAGTGGACTCCATCAAGGGCAAGTGGAACACAAGCGCGCATCGTCCACCCTTAACTACGTAAAAGGTCAATTCCAGGGTCCTCTCCTAGAAAGCCCAGGCCGCAGGGAGGAGTGCTGGGGACCCGCGTTTGGTGCACCTGTGAGGAAACTGCAGTGTGTGCTGCGCTTAGAACATATTATAAAAAGCCTGCAGTTTTAAGACATTCACGACCGTCTTGTGTGTCAGACCCCAACATTCTCCTCCAACTTACTCACCGCTGCCTCCAGAGCATCAGTACCGATGGTGACCTCCACACCCAGACCTTTCCATCAATTCTCCATTGCCTTTCTGATGAAGTCTAAGCCCTACCCATGGCACAGCTCGTCAGCCCTGTGCTCCAGTCTCAGCCACCTGCCACGCACTGAGCGATCACCCAGCGCTCAGAAAATGTACCAGCTAGGTTTGTTTCTCACATTCTGCTGACACAATCCCATACACGGCCCCTTCCCTTCACATCCCCTGGATGGCTGCTCACCCCCTTCAGGTGCTGAGCAAAGTGCGCTCACCCTTCCCACGCAGTCTTTCTTGCTAAGGCTGAGCCACTAGAACTTTCTCTGGCCTCCCCCGATTCACACCAGGGGCCCCCAACCCCCTACATGTCACATGTGCCCAATCCTCTAGACCAAGGGCCCTAAAGGGCAGTGAGCCACCGCAGTTGTTTTTAAGGCCCCAAAACAGTACCCAAGAAAAGTCCCCCAACAATGGCTCAGTCATCATTCCCTCTGGCTGACAGCTTCAGCCAGAGTTATTCTAGAAATAACTCTCTGAAATCAATCTGACCCACATCCGACCATGCCTGGAATCACAGGGGTAACAGAAACACTAGCTGGAATATTCGATCACACCAAAACCACTGGGCGGCAGAGCCTGCAGGCGCATGACGGGCACACAGGCGGGGTTGCTGTGGGGGTGCAGGAGGCAGCAGCTTCAGCCAGTGTGGGATGAAGGGGGTGCATGGGGCGTGGCAGGTGGGCTTGGGGGGCACACGCCGGAGGGCCACGGCGGCAACAGCTCCGTGTGGGGACTGGAGCCAAGTGGCAGGCAGGACAGGCGGGGCGGCCTCATGTCGCAACTGTTCTCAGGAGGAACGCGCCGATGCAGCTCGCACTTCCCGAGAAGGTGAGCTGTGAAACAAGCTGGGGGGTTGGGGGGGACTGGGCTACCTCCTTCATCGTCACCCCACTCTTTTTCATCGTCCTCATCGGCTTCCCGCTTCTCTGCGCCTCTGGCCTTTTTCTTCTTTTTTAACGCCTTCTTCTCAGCCCGGTTCTTCTTCCATTGTTCAGCCTTTTCTTCTTCTTGCTGGGCAAGGGCTGCTTCCTTCTCCGCGGCCTGGAAAGTCAGGAATTTGACACATCCCTGGATACAGCAACTACATGAACCTGGGGTGAGTGAGGACACAGGCCAGGGGTGGATGCGAGGAGGACGTGTTCCCCACTAGGTCTCTTGGATGCCATGTCTAAAGTCTAAGGTATGCTTCACAGTATCTCAAAAAAGGAGGGAAATGTATAAATCTGGGGCCCAAATTAATTACAGGCGCTCATGCTCCAATTACTACGTTGAATCTCCTCTTTATTCTTTTTCTTCTAGTCTGGAGAGCTTTAGGGTACAAATTTCGCCACTACTAAAACATTTACTACTGCGGATAAAGTTTTAAGCCAATCTAAAAAACTTGCACAAGACAGAGTTAAATATTGATTCAAGTATTTCACAATTAATACTCTGAGTGAGACACTTCTTAGGAAGACCTCAAGAAACAGTCACTCCCAAAACAATCAAAATAGCTACAGAAGTTCCAAAGACTTCAAATAAACAGCATCACTACCTTCAGTCTCTGCTCGTTAACACGGGCCAGACGGGTTTCAGTTTTCTGGACAGCCATGTCCCAGTCTTCTAAGGTTCCTGGAGAGAAAGAGAAACAGATGTTCACCTCCTAGACTTGAAAGCTCTAACAAGGAATTCTTAGCTCCCCCCAGCTCCACAGCAGCGCTCTCTCAGCAGACATTAGGCCGGGGCATCAGCTCCCCATTTAAGAAGCTCCAGAGTGCAGACCCAAGGCCTCAGAGCAGTTCTCCCGGTGTGCTTAACAGTGGCTTGTAGTCATTCTTGTAGCAGAGACTTTCAAACCAAACTAGGACTTGTGGGCATTCCACTAACAGACTGGAAGGCAAAAGCAGAAGCCGGGGGTCCCCACCTTCTGTCCGCTCCATGGTGAGTAGCACCTCACAGACGTGCTCTGGGTAGTCGCTGGTGCACTGGACGGCCCGGTGCAGAGCCTTCCTGCAGTGCTGGGTGTCGCCGTGCGCTCTGGGTCAGAAAGCAAAGTCAGCACCACCAGGAGCAAAGCAGAAGGCAGACGAGGAGGGGTAGTGTTCACAGGCAGTCCCAGAGGGCAGGAAGCTCTGAGAGGACTCTAGCCTCCAGAACAATCCACAGCTATTGACATTATTTATTTTCCTCTCCTTTTTCCACAAGAGTCCCTCCAGTTGAAAACTGAGGCTTTCCTCTACACCACCGTTTCCTCAGTGGGCAGGAGTTGCTGAACATGCACTGACAGTGGTGCTCCCTTCGCTGACACATGCGCAGCGCCCAGGGCCATACGAGAGCCATCTGGGCCCTGCAAGTCCCTGGAGGCGCTCTCTAGTGCAGCTGTACTCAAGACCAGTCACTAATGCTGGGACTGTCCAATCTGAACCTTTTGTAACAATGGGGAAAAATAAACTGCTCATCAGAATAGTTGTAAGACAACTTTCTGTTAACCGCGGCAGTCAGGAAACACCATATTCCCATAGTCCCATATTAAACGTAAATATTGTAAATTCCTACTGAGGCACTAGAAAAATTTTAGAGCAGTGGCTCACAAAGTATGACCCAAGTACCTCTGAGGGTCTTAGAGACCATGTAGTGGGAAAATAAAAGATGCTTACCAAGTACACAAAACCATGTCACTTTTTCTTCTCAATATTTTAGAGTTTGAAAACGTCACTTTTCACAAAAATGTTACTTACACTAAACATAAATACTTCTTCATGAATTAAAAAGAATTTTTCAGGGTCTCTCTGGTGGCACAGGCCTTAAAGACACAACACTATGAAGCTATCTGCAGACACTACCACACGGAGTTCAATCCCTGGCCTGGGAGCTGACCCACATGGTGCAGCACCCGCTGCTCCCCTCAGCAGTGTACTTCCACCTGTTCTGCTCCCCACTCTGTGTCTGGTGAATCCTCTCACTTCCCCAAACTTCTAGCTTACACCCCAGTTCTTGTATAAAAATCTTAAAAAAAAAACTCTTCACTTTAGTTTCTAAAATGTTAAACATTAATAGCTATTATTATCTCATGTAAACAAAACAAAGGGTCTCTGAAATTTTCAAATTTTAAGCATGTAAAGGGGTCCTAATAACAAAACTTTTGAGAACCAGTGATCTAAAGGACTATTTCTCTGGCTGACTCTGGGAGTGAGACAAGGGAACTTACATTTTCTATAACATATCTTCCTAAGTGTCCCAATTCTTTCATTACAGCATGCAACATATTTTTATAAAGATTTATTTATGCATGTAAAAGCTGTGTGTAGGCCGAAGGTACAGGGGGTGAGAGGATTCACCAGAGGCAAGGGTAGGGAGCAGACTAGGCGGATCTACTGAAATCCACTGCTGAGGGGAGCAGCGGGCGAGATAAGAGAGGTCTGTTGTGCCGTGTGGGTCAGCCCCCTGATTGGGGATCGAACTCATGTTGCAGTGTCTGCAGAGAGCGACATAGTACTGATAGTTAAACTCTTGTACCACCAAGGAGGCCTACAAGCAGTATTTTTTAAACGGGGGGGAGGGGAGGGAGAGGAGATGGGGACAAAATATTCAAAACAAGAAAAAGCTAATATAGAAATATATTGTGAAGGGCCCTCCCTGGTGGCACAACAGGTTAGGATGCAGCATGGCAAGCTGGCCGCAGCTGTGTCAGTGTTGAGTTCGATCCCCCACCCCAGAGGTGACCCACATGGCACAGCAGACCTGTCTTGCCAGCTGCTCCCTCAGCAGTGTATTTCAGTCAATCTGCCTGTTCTGCTCCCCACTGTCTCTGGTGAACCCTCTCACCACCCCTGCACCTCTGGCCTGTATCCCAGTTCTGCCTGCATAAATAAATAAATCTTAAAAAAAAAAAATGAAATATACAATATTCAAGATTTATTTTTACAAAGCTAGTCATTCTTTTTGGGGCAGCTCACAGTCTAACTCTGCCACAATATACTTATCAGCAAGCTTATCTTATTTAAAAGAAACTACAAAGTTTATATCCTGTATACTGTAACTGCATTTATATTTTTTAAAAAGTATAGAAAAGTGCCAAATAATATGCCAAAACCATTAACTAACAAGTTATGACTAGATCTGTGACTGCAGATAACTTGGGTTTTTTCCTTGAACTTTTTAGTATCTTCTTTTACGTACAAAGCACAAATGGCAAGGAATAAATAGCTCTCAACTATTCATGTCCAAAAATCAAAGCCAACAGGCCAAAATAACAAATGAAAGGCAAGCTGTCAGAGCAGCACAGGCACAAAACGCCGTGTATGGGTCTCCGCCCCTGTCTAAAATCTCAGGGGAGAGACGGGGAAAGGAGGAGCCCCTGGAGGCAGGATCGCCAGGCCTGCGGACAGGTTACCCTTAATGAGCACCCCTTTCCCTACCCAGGGCTTTACCTTTCCAGGTTGTAATATTCAAGCCACATGTTGGCAAACTTGGCGTTTCCTTTGGTCATGATGCTATCCCAGAGTTCCCGAGCCTTCTGCATATTATTGCACAGTCGAGCCTGAAATACATCAGCAGGCTTAGTCAGGAAGGGACACGAGCCTCAAGACAGTTGATGCCCTTATGAAAGATGTTCAAGCAGACATGCCTAAAAAGGCCCCATGACTACCAGCATTCCACCATTCAGCCCAGGACCACCTTCCAGTGGTAACAGGTCTCTGCAGTGACAAGTCCCAAGTGGCCAATCTGTCTTAGACCTTTTGAAAGCAAAGAGCTGGAGACATAGACACTTCTGACAGGACAGGCCCCAGTTGGATTTTGTTTGTTTTTAATCATCAACAAGTGTTTCACTGAGCGGCAATGTCCAGACAGACATAGCAGCAAATGCCAGCTCTGCCACTAAATAACTTGGGCATCATTTAACCTGATATTCAGCTGCCTCATCTTTGACGTGGTTACAACACGAACATTCCCTCTACAAACTGATAAATGTTAGTGTCTTTGACCTGACCTTCCCTCAGAGCATAAAGCATGATTAGAGTTTTGTCATTTTTTGAGATGATCAGGACAGGCCCCAAGTCCTCCTCACCCTGGTTCCTGGCGCAGCAACAGCATCCCCCGCATCAGGCCCATAATGACATGTCAGACGGTCTGGCTCCCACACTAAAGCCTGACTAGCACAGGGGCCATGTCCGTCTCTTCCCCCAGCACCCAGTAAAGTGTCAACAGGACACTTCACTCCACAAACCTAGCAACAGTGTATGGGTTCAGAGTGGGGCAGTGATGCGTGAATGTCTGGCTTTCAGATGTTGCTACACGACTTCTACCAGGACACGAAGGTGCTTACTAAGCAATAAAGGAATGCCTAGCCAGGTGACTAACATGAATCTTTAGAGCCCAGCTCATGACCCTCAGCCAACTGTGAGACAAGGGCCCTCCAAGGGTGGATGAAACTGACAAATTTGTCTAGAACATTTACCTCAATCCTAGCCCAGTTCTGCATGATCATGCAGCTTGGATCTCCACTCTCGCTGAAACCTTAAAGAGCAGAAGTAGTTAAAATTAGAAATGTAGAGATTCAGAGACAGATACCCTCTGACTGAAAAGGCACATCACACATCAACCAAAGTGGGAAACACGGCCGGACACAGCAGGCTGGACCCACACTCACGCTCTTCCACCTCCTGTTTCAGATACTCCAAAGCACGAGTGAACGCAGACCTCAACTCTTCCAGCTCTTTACTGGAGTCTGTTTGAAAGTGCAAAAAGGGTTTGGTTTTGGTTTATGAAACCACACAGCATATCTCTTTTTTACCTACATGAAAACTCCTCCTGGGACTCTTCAGGCACAATGTTAGGGATACAGAAACAATATAGCCAATCCCTGCCTCATCACACAGATGGGGAAGGCACAGGGCACAGCAGTCCCAGGACAAAGGTGAGCCCAGGGACATGTGTAGGAGAGCGGGGCAGAGGGGACCTTCCTAGGCTGGGAGAATGGCTGCAGGTTACCTGCATGAGCTAACGCTGACGTGAGCGTGCCCACACAAGTTATAGAAGGGGCTTCTGCTTGCTCTCTGGGGAGGGTGGGCGTGAGGTAGGCAGGATCCTGAAGAAGCCCAAAAATTTAAAAGAAACACTGCAATCTTATTTAAAGGAGTACTGGAGGATACAGAAGGGGAGTAAGAAATGAGAGTAAGACTGAAAGATTGGCAGAAACCAGCACAAAACGTAAGGATCATTACCCACTTCCGTTAAAATCAATAGCATGATTAGAAAGCTAAATAGCTTTAAATAGCTAAAATTTTCTGGGGGGGGGGGGGGAGTTACCCATGCCTGGTGTTTATCGTGTGCCCAGTCAGCACTTATTTGGGCAACTGGGAAAACTGCCCAAAAAATTATGCTAAGACAAACTTCAGTTCTGAGGTGAAACACATGAACTTAAATACCTTGTTTGAAATCAACCCTTCTCCTCAGGTAATCAAGGTAAGCCTGCCAAATCTCCACATAATCAGTGGCCTGAATGAAGCCAGCACTGAGAGCTTTCTCGAACGTCACTGAAATATTTTAAAAAAAGACCAGAATTTGTTGCCAATTCAAAAAGAAGCTAATATAAAATTATCAAGACTGTTATAAAAATCTCTGCTAACTCTAAAACATATAAGTCTTTAAAAATTAGTAAATGGATAACACAGAATGAAAGGATCTAGAGAGAAGTGCTCAAAAGAAACTGCCACAGCATCATACAAACTGTTCCAGAAAGGGCATGTTCCACGAGATGCGCTAGGCCAAGCAAGTCTGGAGAAAAAATCGTGACTTCTTAGAAAATCAAAACAAACATTAATATGTCAAAAGGCTGTAAGAGGTCAAAAATCCAACCTGCTTATCTCCAATAATTGGAATCTGTTTTCTTACTAATACCCAATATCCAAAAAACACCCTGGGAATTCTGATTCAATGGCTGGTCAAAAAGCTTAGAATTCTTCCCACAAAACACCGCACCAGAAATCACTCGATGATCAACTCCGTGTCTCTCCATGGCCAAGAGGTACCGACTCCACAGCGCCACGGTCCAGGGGCAGTTCCGAACTGCACGGCTGTGTACAGATAAAACCAAATCCTTCACTTTCAGCTGCCGATCCTGGGGTAAAGAAACCCAGCATTAGGAGTTAACACTATCGTGAGGCTTCACTACCCACAGCCAAAAGAAATTTCCTTTAAAATGCTTCTTGCGACTGGTTTCGTCATCACAGAACTCCCAGCAGGGAGACAGGAGCGGGAACGTGGAGACACCAGAAGCCACGGAAGACGGAAGACGGAAGACGTCAGTCAAGCATGGCGGTTTTGACTCCTGAGTCAAACCTTTTGTAGACACAGATAAAAAATTTACCCAGAAAATGTGACTTCGGGGTTTACTTTGAAACAAAAGCAAAGGGCAGCGGGTGAGGACAGCCACGCCGCACGGGACGCCCACAGCGGACAGCGGCAGGAGGGCCCTGAGGCCCCTTTGCTAGGTCTACCTGTGTGCTTGCATTGTTCAGAATGAGTAGCTGCAAGAAAGTCGTAGGGGGGAAATGTCATGTTAACTTCCTCAATAGTGAAACTATTAGCATTTTTTTCACAGTGATGAATTTAAAATAACTTAAAACACTGGGAGAACTTTCTGAATGAGCTGGCCATGGGGGAGGGAGGATGAGAGGGAAGAAAGCCCCCAAGGGGAGCACGTCTCACGCCCGGCACGCTTGCTGACTTCCTTTCTAAGATGGTGAAATAACATGAAATTAGATTTATTTAATAAAGTGAGTGATCTTACAAGAAACTGACTGTAGCGGATCCATAAGTCTGGGACAAGGCAGTTCTCCACCAGGGCGCGCTCGAAGATCAACTGAATGCGAGCAGGATCGCCGACTTTCATCTCGAAATCGATATACGCCTGATACTCCGCCAGCCTGGGCGCCTCTGCTTGCAGCTGGGGCAAAGGAAAGTTGCACTTCAGTTGAAGTCAGCAATCTGCGGCTCTCAGGAAGCACTAACACATCCTCAGAAAAGGCAAGACTGGCTGCCTGAGACGAGCATCGCCAAACCCCACTGTGGGAACTCTGTCAGTGGGGGCCGCCCTCTGGTGGGGGGAATGTGCCCTCCCCTCTGGGTCCAAAGTGCTCTTCAAGTCAGCCCTCTCCTGACCCAGTCCTAGAACACAGGGATTCACATCTCTCCCTGGACCAGCAGTAGGAAACACCTCTGCCGCTGACCAGAGCTGGCCAGGCAGGAAACACCTCTGCCGCTGACCAGAGCTGGCCAGCTGTTTGAAACGCAAGTCATTTTCTTGGCCTACTGAGTGGAAGGAGTGGAACCACTGGATAAGTCGGCGCCTGGTCCCATTTCAAGGTTCTCATTCCAGCGTCAAAGTACAGGTAGACGGAGCCAGAAGAGACTTTGCAGAATGCTTACTGAGCCAAAAATCAGTTCTTTCTAGACACTTTCGTTCAGCTTGTTTTCTCTTCAGTCAGATTCTGCTGACTCTCCAGCAAAACCAAGCCAACCAAAGATTTCCTTAACAGGGTTGATGAAACAAATATTTACATGTGAAAAGAAAGGGAGAGAGTGCAGCCAGCAAAACTGCACATGCTCTGTATAAAGAATGATGCTTTTGAGCCTCCATTTCTAGTAATTATAATAAATTAATTACCAAGACACTGAAGAACTGAAGCACTGGATTAAATAAACATCTTAAAAATCATCAACAAACTGACAAACAAAATACTAGGGACAAAATCTAGGTGAAGGCAGTTAGCAAGTTAAGTGAAGGTTAAGTTTTTGTATGCTGAAAGTATATTAAAAATTTGATCTTCACAGCAATCCTTTGCGGCCTCCTTATATTTAAGGCAACTGAAACAGGAACGGTTAAGTGCCAGTCCAAAATCATAGTGTAAGTGACAGAGCTAAACTCGAGCTGAAGCAGCCAGGATCTCACAGTCTCTCCATGCCACGCTTGTTCAGTTACTAAACCAGGAAAGACACCTAAGCCAGAGCCAAGAATCCCAACGAATCTCCAGGTTGGTTAAAAAAAAGATATGCCCACCTGGACCTCTGAAATGAAACTATGGGATGTCGAACCAAAACAGTGAGATCTCAAGATCAACCAGAACAAAACAATGAACTTTTAAAGACCAAGAGAGAGGCAGACAGCTAAGGTGGCACCAGCAACAGTAGCCAGAAGACAGAAGTGGCAGTCTAGAGTTACATCCCGAGAAACTAACTTTCGAGACTCAAATAAAGACCTTTTTCAAAGACTGAAAATCTGTTACTGCAAATGTCCAGTGAAGGACACGCCAAAGAACAGACTTCAACCCAAAAGTGACCCCAAGTGAAAAGACCTAGGATGGAGGAGGAAGGAAAGGCAAAGGAAGTGAGACATGCGTGGGGAAATGTCAACAAGCTGGCCCTGGACCAACGCAATGGCCCAGGGGTCAGAAAGAAGAGATGGAGTTGGAGGAGAAGGGGAAAGGGATGGGGGGAGGGCCTGGGAAGGGAAAGGAGAAGGTGACAGGGAAAGGGGAGGGAAAGGAGAAGAGAACTGATGTGTGAGGTCCAGGAAATGAAGTAGCATTCTAAGACCAAGAAAGAAGGAAAAATGTCACCACCATTAAGGTCAACACAGTATTATTGTCAACACAGAAATTCAGAAGAACAGAATAAGAATTTAGCAAGTCTGATAGATTAAAAATAAGAGGAATGAAAACCATTTAGTTGAGGAGGAAAATCAAACCGTGAACAAGTAAGTGAGAAAAACAGACAGGCTCAGGTTATCCCCGTGATACAAAACACTTGCCCAACCTACGTAGAGACTATTATGAGCTCAGGGATTTGGATTTGTTTTGTAATTCCTGCAATTTTCTTTAAATTGGTTTAAAAATAATGAAAGCTATAAAGGCGTAAAAATAAAAAATTGCATTTTACATACCAGGAAGGAAACTGCACTTTACAAACCAGAAAAGAAAATCTTTAAAATACCATTTATGAGAACATCAAACACCTCCTAGACATATAAAAAATACTAATACCTTCAAGTCACCAGATAAATTTAAAAAACTGTATAGAAAGATAAGACTCTAAATAGCACAGAGCTGCATCATATTCACAGACTGGAAGGTTTGATATTTAAAAGATATAAATTTTCCTGGCCCTCCCTGGTGGAGCAGCGGGTTAAAGCACTGCACTAAGAAGCTTAAGCCACTTCCGCATGGGTTCAATCCCCGCCTGCCCCGGAGGTGACCACATGGCGCGGCAGACCTCTCCCGACCCGCCCGCTGCTCCCCTCAGCAGTGTACTTTCTCCATCTGCCTGTTCTACTCCCTGCTGTGTCTCTGGTGAATCCTCTCACCCTCCGAATCTCTTTGGCCTGTACCCCAGTTCTATATGAATAAATAAATAAATCTTAAAAAAAAAAAGTAAATTGATCTAAAGACAATGTAATTACCAAAAAAAAAAACTAGCTTAAAGAACCTGAAATGCGGATTCTCAATCCAATGCAAGAGCTCAAGAAAGCCAGAACCCTCCTGAAAAGGAGCAAAGCTGCTGAGACCCATGAAGGTCAAAACTTCATGTGAAACCACTGTCACTCTGGCGGCCTCAGAGGGCAGCAGGGAGCAGCCCTGGGGGAGCGGAGAGCAGCGGGCGGCAGCACAGACTGCACAGCGGGCGGGATAACAGCAAGTCCGATCAGTGTGCGCAGCTGGATAGAGGAGGCGGGACCCTATCTCACAGCACAACATCAAAGTCGATTCTGAGTGAAGATCTAAATATGAAACACAAAACTGTAAACTTGTGAAGTAAACTAAACACAGCTACGAATGTTGACTTCGGTGACGGAGAGGTTTTTAAAGCACAACAAAAAACACAAACCGTAAGAGAAAGAATGATAAATCCAAGTAGACTATAACTTAGAACTACTCATCACAAGACACTACTTTTAAAAAGTAACGAAACAAGTCACCCACAGGGGACAGGGGCTGTAACACACAAAGTAAGAATTAATACCAAAAATAAGGATTAAGATGACTCAGGACTGCCACAATCAATGCAGTCCTGGGGATAACCTGAGCCACAAAAAAGGAAGTCAGAATGATGTGAAAAGATGTTCAATTTCATTAGTGATCAGAAAAATGCAAATTAAAATTAGAATTTCTGACTCATCAGAAATACAGGAATGTCAATTACCCCAGGATGGAAAGAAAAATGTGAACTCCCTAGCACCATGCGAGTGTACGTCAGTAACTGCAGCGGCTCAGCATTCCCCGGGGGCCCGACAGTCCCAACAGTGCTGGAGGAAATCCTCCGTGTACAGGAGACACACAGTGGCCGGCACAAGGCTGCCCATCCTCCAAAAACTGGAGACGACCCAGCTATCTTAGAACGTGGCTTAACAAATCACAACAACTTTATAGCAGCAAAAACAGAGTGACAGTAACTCTACGTATCAACACTAGTAAAGTCCAAATAAACTGAAAGAAAATACATCATGATTCAATAATGTAAAAATTCAAAACCAAACAAAATTAAACAACATTTTAAGAATACATTCAAAGATTATAAAACTATAAAGAAAAGCAAGGGAATGATCATCACGGAAGCCAGGAGAGTGGTCACTCTCGGAGGGAGGCAGCGGCCAGACAGGGCCCAGCGGGGCTGCTAAGGCAGGCGCTGGCCACGCGCGACTCCTCAGCCTGGGTCGCACAGGGACGCTCCCTTTCTGTCAGAAGGTGAGCTGTACATATGCATTTACACACGCTATGTAGCTCAAAACAGAATTTAAGGCACGGTTTCACTTTGCACTTGGATCCGGGAAAACTAGCGGAGAGGTTGAGGAGGAGAAGCCAGCACTTACCAGTGACTCTTCATAGGGCTTGTACTTCTCCAACTGCTGGAGGGCTTTGTTATAGCTCTGAATCACTGACTCTGGTATCGGGTCTTCTGACCATTCTTCATACTCTGCAAATGTGGCCTCCATATCTATCGAAAGATGGATTTAGATCCTTGGGTCTCGCCACTGGATTTTATCAACTTGAACACAGACTGAACCATGAAACTCGGGCCACCAATCACTCCCACCAGTCGAACCCTGAGTCCTTACACTGCGCTACAACATGGCTTTAGACTCTGTCAAGCATGGTCCCAGACAACCCTACCAGCCAGTTAAGCAGCTAATGAAACTAACTGCAACCCCAGCAACAGTCAGCTTCCCATGGCCTAGCACTTCATATCCATTAACTCTTTCTGACCCTCATGGCCTACTCTCATGAGGAAGGGTCTGCGGTGACCCCCATTTTGCAGTGGAGGAAATGGAAGTAAAGTCAATGTTCAATTTTTCTACATTTGTGGAGAACAAGGCTTTGCACCTAGGTAGCCCATGGCTCAAGTTTGCGCTGTACTCACTGTGCTATGCTGCCTCACTTTGAGTGACAGATGGAATCTACAAACCAGCTCAGCACTAGCCTTTTCTGTATGTCACCCAAATATTCACCTGGAGAGTCATTTTATCATTTGTTAAAATGAATCCAAATAATCCACAAAGTAAAAAGGAAAAAAGCATCAGGCCCTCCCTGGTGATGCAGTAGGTTAAAATGCAGCACTATGAAGCTGGCCGCTGCTGCTTCAGCATGAGTTCGATCCCTGCCTGCCCCAGAGGTGACCCACATGGCACGGCAGACCTCTCCTGACCGCCTGCTGCTCCCCTCAGCAGTGTACTTTGTCAATCTGCCTGTTCTGCTCCCCACTCTGTCTCTGGTGGATGTCCTCACCACCCCTGCACCTCTGGCCTGTACCCCAGTTCTGTATGCATAAGTAATTTTTTTTTAAAGGGAAAGAGCATCTACGATCCAGTAAAACTGACCACAGGATCTTAGGGGGTGTGGGTGCAAAACCACACCCAGGGAACAAGCAAGATGGCAGCGCCAGACTCTTTCCAAACCCTGAGAAAACCTGTGAGGCTCTGGAGCCTCACAAACATGGGTTGCCAAAATACCCACCCAGAGGGAGAATCCTTGCCAAACCCCATCTGAATATTTCCAGTCAATGGTACTCCTGAAGCCACCAAAGAATGGCGTGAAATTCCCACTGTTAGGTAAGAGGTCGCTCCTGAAGAGAAAATGGTTAAAACGGAACTACCTCCATGAAAGCCCCCTTGAACAGAGAGGGCCGCCTCCCCACTGCTTTCAGAGCTCTTACCTGCAGGAGCGGTCTCAAGCCCAGTCAGTCTGGATCCACTCCATCACTGACCCTCAGGACCCTCCAAGCAGGAACAACTCAAGGTATGCTTTCCTGGGGCCCCAAGGCGGCCACAGGGTGTTGGACAGTCCTAACTCCACGACATACCCTGACACATTTCAAAAACCACAGAGGGCTGGCTGTTGACGCATCAGTGTCTCTTACCATAGAGCGGGATCGCCAGCTGTCGCCGGAACAGACTGTGGACTTTCTCAAGCTGTGAATCAAAGGTTTGTTCCCAGTCAGAAGGGGAAAGGCAGTCAGCTACAGGCTAAAGAAGCAAACCCGTAGTAAATGACAGACTTTGATTCTTCCTACTTCAAAACATATTTCAACAAATGTTTAGTTCCAACTGAAAAAAGTGTGACTTTTTAAACATGAAGTATTGTGCCAAGTGCTGTCGTAGGTTAAAAATTAAATGTTTTCTTGCTTCTACTTACGACGAACACAAGCAACAGATCCAGGTAACTGTAATTAAGGCCGGAAGCCAAGTCTCACAGTGTCAGGTGTTGGCACTGGCTGCAGGCTGAGGTTTGGGTTTCAAGGGAGGAAATCAGGAGACTCTCGAGGTGCTGGCCTTTGGGATGCGCCTGCAGGCTCTCCAGAGGCAAGGAAAAAAGGGCTGATGCCCAACGGAAGGGCCAGCCTAAGTAAGAGTCCAGAAAGGGCAAGGACATCGAGAGGACACGCGAGTATCATCCACGCAGGGGTGAAGTCTGATTCGAGAGACAGCCAAGCACCAGGCACAGGAGTTAGCCTGGTGCCTCGATCTAGTAAGATTTTCAACAGGGACAGGGCTACTTCCCCTAGAGGGCACCATGAGGGACCCACAATTACTTGTGCACACACAGAAAAGTACAAGGCAGAGGCTGGAGAGAAGGATTCTCTTTGAGTTACGACTTAAATTCTATAAATCAATCTAAAAATACAATTGCGGGGGGAGTCAGATGACCTCCCATAGTCACAACAGAACATATTTTGCTTCTGGAGTGGCACAGTTATTCCTGTACATTCATGAGTATGTCATCAACAAACAACTCCATGTACCTGTGAGCATGTCATCAACAAACAACTCCATGTACCTGTGCACCTTTATATTACAACAGGGTTGACACAGGTCCACGGAACTAAAGAACTAAAGCAGCAGGATTTTTAAGTACACAAAGAAATGACAGCATCACCTGTCTCTTGGTCAAAATCATCCTGGCCATCCCACAAAGACTACTGGTTTTAGTTTTAGCTCTTCGACTGACCAACCAGTAAGGGACGTGGCTAAGACCACAAACTGTTCTCCCAGGCCACTGACAAAGACTGTCCAGACTACCCAAGGGCAAGGCCGGAGGGCCGGGGTACTCACCCGGGCAGCTTCCACGATGGCACTTTCGAACTCCCGGTAAGCCTCCCAGATGGCAAGTCCTTTGGTCATGTGCAAGCCGACGGACGAGAGCGCCCTTTCAAACACAGAGCGAACTTTTTCTAGGCCACCTTTCTGACCAATCCCACCGACTGAGTACTGGCCATATTCGAGCCAAATGTTCGGACCTACAAATGAGAAGAGTTTTTCTGTTAGTTCAGAACAGGAAATACCCAAACATCAAGCCTGGTGCGCCACAGAAGAAATGTGCGCACCCAGCGAGGACCCACTCATTGGTAAAGACGAGAGAGCCATCACAGCAACTCACTGTACCTGTACACCCGATGTTACCTAAGGGCGAAGGCCGAGAAAATGATACTTTGAACAGCCCCTAAGGGTGACCACTGAGACTGCACAGTCACAGGAAACATGCAGCAGAAACATGAGAATAAGCTCGTCAAGCTTGAAAGGATCCCAGCAGTGGATTTCAATGAACGTAATTACAAACCTTAGACCAAGTTGAGAAAGGCTGAAATTCAGAGCCTAGAATGTTTCTATTTTTGGACCTTTGTTCACTTTCAAGCATTGTGGCCAAAATGATCAAAATTAAAAACACCAATCTTGTTACTGAAAGTCTATCTTGTTACTGAATGTCTATCTTGTTACTAAAAGTCTAACTTAACAATACTTGCACAGGAAGGAAATCAGACTTGGCTGCCTTGTTTCATTTTCTTTTCAAGTTTCTTACATACCCCCATGGTTTTAAGACCAGACAAATGCCTTAAACTCTTCAGGAATGCAATTGGGTCTTACCATGCACATGTTGCCTTTTAAGTCACTTTCAGTGACCCGAACATTTCAGAAGTCTATATACTAACTTTGCAAAATAAAAATACTAAAATGATAAAGAAGCAAATTTGAGAATTACTGTTTTCCTGACATTTGCTTTTTCACAGAAAAATCCACCTGAAAGAGCATTAGCTACTGTCCTCACTCACCAAGTTAGAGCTGCCCTGGAGCAGCAACAGGAAATTGGCAGCGAGCTCTGCCTGCTGGAGCCCTTCTGAGAGGCAGCGAGGCTGCAGTATCAGGAAGCTGCCTCCGCAGAGAGGACACTTTTCACTCAATTACATCAGCAGCATGGCTTTTCCCAAACTCAAACAGGAGAGCTAAAATGTCAGAGTATTTTAAGCTCAGTGAATCCAAGGGGGCAGAGATCGTAATGACTACAAGAGGCAACAAAGCAACGTTCAGTAGACACCCAGGTTCCAAAAGAGGCAGAGACGCCAGATGTGGCTCCTCCAAAACCTGGAACAAAAGGGACACAGCCACATCTACTAGAAAGCCACTCGATACCCCCAGACGCCACCACTAGGCACAGGCTGAAGCACAGACGTCCGTGGTGGTCTCTTCAGATATGCAAAACAAAGCAAACCTGGGAAGCAGACAAAGCAGGTATTAACCACCCAAACAAGCGGGACCATGTGCCCACACTGAACTCCTTAAAGCAACGGAGAGCGCTCCGGTCTTCACTCGGGACTGTCCACGAGGCCGCATCTAAGCGCAGCTGTCCGGTTCCTGACCAGAGCCTGGGGGGAAGGCAGCAGCGCCAGGCGGCCAGCAGGCTAGAAGCTGGATGCGGAGCCACTGTGAAACCGCACGGACCAAAAACCAGTGGGAGGGACAAACCGCCCTCCGAGGAGGCGGATGCGCTGGCAGAGCTGACCTGGGGGCAGGACGGAAGGGTCACCAGGTCAGCAGCGAAGACGGCCACTGCAAGTCTGGAAAGAGGAGGCCACATGCAGAGGCACTGCCCAGCCTTCAAAGACAGTCTAATGATACTTTATGAAAACACTTATTACTCTCATTATTCAGGTTTTATAAAAAAAAAAAAAAGGTCAATTTTTCATGGCTCATTAAGACATGGAAAATTCTCTTTTGAAGGCAGCATATCTTCTAAGCCTCGCTGCATGTACAATGGGGGAGAAGGAAAATCAAACTGGGGGGAAGGAAGTTTAATTCAAGGGGAGTGGAAGGGAGTGTTAAATCTCCAGGGTAGGTAGCGAAAGCACGTAGAAGAGAGAAAGCAGGCGGGGAGAGGGGAGGCAGGTGCACTTCACTCGCACCGGTCAAAAGTCACGGGCAGGAGGAGAGCTCTGTGGGGGGCTCGGAGCTGGACTGTGGCGGCGACCACGTGGACTGGCTGTGGGTGAAACGCCACAGAGAGCGATGACACCCAACTGTCTGTCAAAAGTGACGGTAGTATACACTTACAGTGGATGAATTTTTACAAAATGGAAATTGTACTTGAGAAAGTTGATTACCAATAAGAAAGCGTCAGAGCCACACCACAGACTGCAACAAAGGCAATTTCATGGCTTTGATTTTGTGATCTTTAACTCAGAAAGCTGGATGATGTGAGTACAAAGGACTTCTCTGGACTAGTTCTGCAGTTTTCTTTAAAGATACACCTATTTCAAACAAAAATTTTTTCTAAGTTTTTTAATATTTAAAACAAAGCATTCTGAAAACCCCCTCGGTGTGTGGTAACGTCTAGTCACCTCAAGTGGTAAAGTTCCCCTGCCAGCCAAAGGCTGCATGAGTGTTGTCAATTCCCTCTCTACAAATATTTCTCTACCTTTATTTTAAAAACAAATACCCTCAGCTGAAGATCACAGACAATGGAACAACAGGCAAGGAAGAACTGAGCCCCAGCCCAGAGACTGCTGTCAGGCGCCCCCCGCCGCCCACGCCCAGCCCGGCACTCACAGATGTAATCCTTCACAGCCTTCTCAAAGAGGCTGTACACGTGCTCTCGGTCCGGGCCGTCCAGGGCCATGCTGATCTCGTCGTGCAGCCACTCCAGCCAGAGCTCTGCAAGACAAAGCACCCCGGCGTGACCCTGCCCTCACCGCAGTCTGCAAACATTTGCTCCCTCACACACTGGGCACAACTCACAGTGAAACTCCAAAAGCCTGCACCAAGCACACACAAGGTTTTATGCTTCCAACAAAGATCAAATCACTAAAATCAGAACCTATGCTCCTGGGGCATGTTATGTGTTTGCAAAGAAGTTGCATGTACATTTGATCTTAGGGAAAATGCTGTAGGTAACCATAACATTACTAACAAAGGCAGCTATGTAAGCATTACCAGGCTGAAGTATAGCACAAGAATGCCTCATGCAACCCGGGCGCTACCAGGCTAAACTACTAGGCAAAAGCTCCTGTCATCCCCATTGTACTGCTGGGTGTTTGCATAATTTGCATAAGGTATACATAATTTGGATAAGGTCTCACAGGGAGTAAGACCTTTCAAGGAATTAATCTGGTTTTAGCTTCTAGTCAGCAGGTGTGCTCTATTGGAGTGAGGGGGGGACAGAGTTGGACTGAGGACTAGTGTTTTCTTTTTTTAAAGATTTATTTATTTATGCATATACGAGCGGGGGTACAGGCCAGACATACAGGAGGATGAGTGGATTCACCAGAGACAGAGCGGGGAGCAAAACAGGCAGATGTACTGAAATACACTGCTGAGGGGAGCAGTGAGTGGGACAGGAGAGGTCTGCTGCACCATGTGGGTCAGCTCCCTGGCCGGGGATCGAACTTGTGCTGCAGTGGCTTCGGACAGCTTCACAGTGCTGTGCTTTTAACCTGTTGTGCCATCAGGGAGGACCCAGTGGACTAGTGTTTTCTGACTCTTCATTAAAACCTCAATTACGAATTCACAAAAGTTTAATTACTAATCTACTCAACATAATTATGCTGCAAGGAAATAGAAATAACTTAAATGTTCAACTACTATAGAACAAATGAGATGTTCATGCCATTTGCAGCAACATGGATGGAACTGCAAGGGATCATGCTCAGTGAAGTATGTCAGAAGGAAACAGTAAAATATCAAATGGTTTCACTTATAGGAGGAATTTAAGAGAACCAAATAAAATGGGGGGGGGGAGTATACTGTTATTACAATACAAAAACAGTTATAAACCAGAGAGATCCCACAGGGGAGGGGGACAGAGAGGACTCAGGAGGGAGGAATGTGGGGGCTGTGATGATGACGGGTGGGGATGGGGGTGGGGATGGGGGAGTAAACACGGTTATAAAATGAATAATGTAGAAAGGGAAAGGAGGGAGGGAGAGAAGAAAGGAGGGAAGGAAGGAGGGGAGAAGAAGGGGGGTAAGGAGGGAGGAAGGAAGGAAGGGGAAAAAAATGAGATGTGAAACATTTACATTAAAAATTGTTTGTAAGAAACCCACAGGGATTACAATTGAGATGGAAAAAGAAAAAAGAAAAAACGCAAAAAAAGAAAAAATGTACAAAATGATGTAAAAATAAACTGTTAAAAATTAAAAAAAAAAAATTGCTTGTAAGAGGGGCTTCCCTGGTGGGGCACGGGGTTAAGTCTCAGCACTATGAAGCTGCCACCAGCCACCGCAGCAGTCCCGTCCGGCCAGGAGCTGACCCACATGGCGCAGCAGGCCGCTGCTGTACTGCCCGCTGCTCCCCTCAGCAGTGGATTTCAGTGGATCCGCCTGCTCTGCTCCCCACTCTGTCTCTGGCGAATCCGCGCTCACACACACCCCTCCTCCACCACTGTGCCTCTGGCCTACACCCCAGCCCTCGTATGCATAAATAACAATGAATCTTTAAAAAAATAATAAAAAAGTGAACCAGTGCTGCATGACCACAGCCACATTTTCAAAAAAAACTATACAATGATAAACAGTTGATTCTGGATAACGACAGGTTTTCTTTTGCCCACACTAAGTTCCCAAAGCTCTGTAAGACGCATAACCCGCCTTCAGCAATCACAAGAACACTCTCTCTGATCTGACACACACATTACCTTCTGTCAAAGGGAAAATCTCGCTCATCTTCTGACGAGCCATCCTCACTTTGGTGAGCTCCCCTTCCAGCCGCAGCAGCCTGATCAGGTCTACGTGGCAGTTGTAGTCATAGACGTTGATAGACAGCTAAAGGAAAAGTGAAGCTGAAATTAAAATGCCATCACCAAATAACTTTTTTGTCATAATGGCGACAACCTGCATTTGCTGCAAAGTACATTTTGTTATGCGACAATCACTGAAAAATCAGCACCGACCTTAAAAAACAAATCTGCACGGACACTTAGGAGGAGACAAGTCGAGGAGAGGCCTTTGAGGGAAGCAGGGCCTGAAACGTCAGAGCCCGAGCAGAGAGGTGCAGTAACACCTCGGAAGAGGACTTCAGAACACAGAGAGGGCCAGGCACGAAAGTGAAGATTATGACATGGTGAAAGGAGTAACCTGCCAGGAAGATTAAACATCCCTAAGTGTGTACCAATAACAGCTCCTCAGAATAAGTGATTCAAACTCTGACAGAAGAAACAGGAACATCCACAGTTGCACTGGAGGCTTCAAGTCCTCCCATTTCAGCAACAGGCAACACTACTAGATACAAGCAGCAAGGGAAAGAGCTCACCACCAGTAACCCAGCATGTGACTGACATACAAAGCGCTACAAAACAGCGACGAATCTGCACTCCTAGCTAGGGCCGGCGCAGCATGCGTGACGGCCCTTCAGCAAACCTCAACAAACTGGGAGAAATCATGCAGCATATGTACTCTGCCCACAATGGAATCAAACCAGAAATCAATGATAAGAATTTGCGTCAAACTCAGAAAACCTTGAAAAAGACAGAAATGAATGAAAATAAAGGGAATCAATGTAGGACACAGGTCACAGTGTGGAAGGAAAATGAACAAAACTAAATCCCATGTATGAAAAGAATTAGACACCATGACTAAATGGGACTCCAGGCATTAGGGCTCAGTCTTTGAAAGTGAACCACTGTAGTCCACTACTTCAACTGGCTAGCGAGCAAAAATGATGACCATCAATTGTGCAGAAAGCTTTTGTCAAAATTCAACAACTGCTCATGGCAAAAAGTGCCAGCAAATTAGGACCTGACTCTGTTAAGAGAATGCAAAGACAAGCTACAGACTGGACAAAATTATTTGCAAATCACACATCTGAAAAAAAACTCACATCTAACAGACTTAATCCCAAACTTAATAGTAAAAAATGAACCAATTAGAAAATGGTGAGTCCTCCCTGGTGGCGCAACAGATTGTGACGCAGAGCTGCCAGAGCCACTTCAGTGTGAGTTCCATCCCCGGCCAGGGAGTGACCCACAGGGCGCAGCAGACCTCTCCTGTCCCGCCCACTGCTCCCTCAGCAGTGTATTTCAGTGAATCTGCCTGTTCTGCCCCCCACTCTGTCTCTGGTGAATCCTTGTACCTCTGGCCTGTACCCCAGTCCTTTATGTATAAATAAATAAATCTTAAAAAAAGAAAAGAAAATGGGTTAAAAACAAGCCAACATATGTAGCCAAACAGATGCACATCCACCTGCATAGTCACTGATGGCAAATCAGGGACATTGTGGTCAATACCACAATTCACTGACGAAATGCAAGTTAAAACCACAAGGAGGGTCCAGGGGTTAAGTCTCAGCACTATCCCTGCTACGCCCAGGTCTGACCCCCGGCCAGGGAGCTGACCCACATGTGCAGCAGACCTCTCCAGCCCTGTCCGCAGCAGTGTACTTCAGTCGATCTACCTGTTCTGCCTGGGTGAAATTCTCTGACCTCCCTGCACTGTGATAGCCAACAGTCCAAAAAGTAAAAAATAAAACCATTAGATACTGTTAAAACAT